TTTGAAGTTTTTTTTTTCATCCCTTTTTAATTCTATTGAGAAACACACTAAAATCTTCCATAAGAACACAGAAGATTACAGCAGTGCCAGACACACTTTATACATTCCTTTAAGCCTTAAATTTGCCAACATGTTCACGAGCTATGATCATCCTCTGAATCTGAGCAGTTCCCTCATAAATCTGAAAAGGAGAATTGCAATAATGTTACTGGGTGATTTTTAAAAAGGTTTTAGCAGGTATACATTTTTAAACCTCCATGGCACTAATCCAATGTGGATTACAATGTGCAGGAAGACAGAAAAAAACCAAAGAAAATTCCAGTGTGCCAGAGTAATTACAGTGGGCTAAATTAAATGTAACTCATACAAGATACTGAGAAAGTCTTGTTCTCTCAGGTGCTCCTAACCTAAAGTCAGTAGGGCTGTCATGAAAACAGATTACAACATTCCTCTTATTTGAGGAAGAAAATACGTTATTTAGATTTTTCAAAGTAGGATCTGAAATCATGGTTAGAAGAGAAGAGATGACTTGTCCTTAAGTGTTTTCTTTAACTAGACTTTCAAGGTCATACCATATGTTGTCTTTGATCCATTTATTTCCATTGCTTCTTATTAACTAGTACTCTCTCCCACACAGTTTTGTTTGTGGTTTTCTTTATTCTTGCATTTTCTTGAAGAAACAGCCTGCATCATCCCTCTGTTCTGTTTGTTTGCTGGCAGCAAAGTCAAAAATAAACAAAAAAGCACCTATGAAGTTCTAATACCAAAGGAGGACGTATGCTCCACAGGCATACTGCAATGTAATGCAACGGCTGAGGCAACATAGCCTAGAGGTTTTAATATTTCAGCTCCCACTTCTGTCAGAACTTGGTTTGGCAAATTGCTGAAAATTATGCAAATTCACTTATAGGAATAATCTTTCCAGGAACCTTAAAAGCATTTTAAAAATAAGAATGCTATAACCTGTGTTCACATTAGTGTTCTGGTTCAGAACAAGCTGTTGATTCCCAGGGTGAATTCTCTGCTGCTGCTTACCCCATGTTGATCCAGTCCACCGAGAAGACTGTGTTTTGTGAGTACTAGGTGCCTTCTGAAACCAACTGCAATGGAAGCTCTGCTTTCTCTCTATACTAAACATTCACCAATCCCTAGGAAAGCCATAATGGTACAAGCTTGCACCTGGACCCTAACAGCTGGATGCCCATTAGGGACATACATTCCAAGGGACCAAACAGGCTTGCTATGAACTCAGACTCCTCAAACTGCTTAGAGCATAGCTGTCAGGGTCTCAGCAGCTGTTCCTGCAATCTACCAAACTGCTCCTATTGCACTAAAATTTGCACTTGCGGATGAACACAGCCATGGAAATCAAGTGTAAAGACATCACAACTCACAATCTTACTAAGTAATTACAGGAAAGGTTTTGGTTTATAAGCTGATGGAAATAGTTTCAAGACTCTCTGACAATTAAAGAAAGGAAGTTTTCTAAATTTAAGAGTTTCCAAACCTAAGAGTTTCTATCAAAGTAGCCAAGATTTTTAGCCAGACAAAACTAGGACACAGTAAGGACATGTAAAAATGTTATCAGTAAACACAATAAAAGGATTGTGTAATACCAAAAAAAATGAAAGATAATTTGAAAAATCAAGTTTTTCTGCATGCAACATATGGCCAAAAGTACCTACCATCTGGAATTGAGCAATAATACACCAAAGCACAGTGAAGTGTAAGACATAATCAAGAGATATGGACAAAATATTTGCAAGACAAAACCTTTCCCGAATTTTTTTGGGGATGAAATGGAACTGACAGTCATAGAAAATTTAATACTAAGTCTGATTAATTAGAAAAACAAGCCTACTTAGCCATGCATTTGGATCACTGTAATGAAAAAACTAAGTAATAATGGGATTTTGTTAAATCAATCTCAATGAATTTGAGTTTCAACCCTCAAACCATCATTCTCTAAAAAAGCATGCAACCTGACAGGAAAAAAATCACAATCATAAATTTCAATTAGTCATTCATTTCCTCTCTCACAAAAGCGAAGTTAGTTATAGGGACCTTTAGATTACAGCATAGCAGTTGTCTTTCCTTAAATTGAGAAAAAAATTAATTCTTGGCTAGTGGCAATAATAGTTTGCATTTTGAAGTCAGCTGTAGGACAAATATTAACTGCCTAGAATCCTGGATTGACAGCTGTTATAGTTAACAATCATTAGAGGTCATGGTCTATGTGCGTTTCTTGGTATCATCTACTTTGGTATATTTTATCTAGTCACTGTTAGTGTTAGATATCAATAAAGATTACTGGTTTTACCAAATGCAAGTAAAATATTCTTGCTGAATGAAGAACTGCAGCATAGTATATGCTAATATACTAATTACAACATGACACGGAATAATTTCTTGACAGTAACATTGCAGTAAAAAAACTGGGGATTACAGTGAACTATGGGATAAATATGAGTACAAAAAGGTCTTGTTAAAAGAATGGATAATCACTCTACATTGTGTCACACTTCTGTTGATACAACACATTTACATGTCATGGTGCCAGCTAGGATAGGGTTAATAGTTTTTCTAGTAGCTGGTCCAGTGCTGTGTTTTGTGAGAACAGTGTTGGTAACACGTTCTTGCTCTGTAGTGCTTACTGCAAATCCAGGACTTTCAGTTTCCTGTGATCTGCCAGTGATGAGGTGCACAAAAAGCTGGAAGGGAGCGTGGCCAGGAGTGCTAACCTGGAATGGCCAAAGGAGCATTTCATGGCACAGAGAGTCAGGCCCAGTATATAAACTTAGGGGGAGTTCACCAGGACGGTGCTGATTGCTGTGGGTGGATGGGGTGGGCATTGTTCACCAGGTGGTGAACAACCTTATTGTGCATCACTTGTTCTTCCTGGGTTTTGTTCCTATCTGCCTCTCTCTTTTATTACTCTAATTTACTTTATGTCAATTATTAAACTTATTATTATTAAATTTATTTCAATTATTCTCCATGCATGAGATTTACAATTTTTTTCCAATTCTCTCCACCATCCCTCAGGAGCAGGGAGGAGAAGGTAGTGAGCTACCCTTGTGTGGCTACTTAGTTGCCAGCTAGGTTTAAACTACAACACCTTGATACTCAATACTGTTGATACATCAGCCACAGCGTTCTACGCAGTTTATAATACCAAAGTTTCAAACAGAAAGTTTAATGGAAAAGCAAAACAAAAACCCCAACCAAACAAAAAACACCTCTTCCCTCATAAGGTGTTGGGGTAAGAAACTGCTTTAGTGTTCAGGCTGAGAAGACAGCTGAACTATAAGCAGACATCAATCCAGGTTACAGACAGATGGTCAAAAGTTTTGCATCTCCAAAGATTTTCCAGAACAGTATGATATGTAAACCACCTGTATTTACAGAATACCAAAGCAAGCATTGGAATTTTGATCAAGATTTTTTTCCCAAGAGTTTGAAGACTTCAAAAATGAGAATCCAAGAATTGCAACAAGTTACCACATTAGAGGGAAAAAAAGCCCAAACCTCACACAATATAATTTATTTCTCTTATGTGATTTCAGTTTTTGTCAAGTGCAATGACTTTATTATGGAAGAAATTTCCCGTTTTGAATCACTGTTTCTTTAAATGGAAGGATTACTGCTTTCATTCTAAAATTATTTTTTTAATATCACATTTTTAAATATCACATAATTACACCATGATTTGAAGTAGGTAGCCGTTACTTTATTCTATATAAAATCTATGCATTAGCACGTTCTCTTTTACTTACCTGGTAGATTTTAGCATCTCTCATTAGTTTTTCTACAGGATATTCAGTATTAAATCCATTTCCTCCAAAAATCTGTACTGCATCTGCAGCTACTTGGTTTGCAATGTCACCAGCAAATGCCTTTGCAATGGAAGCATAGTAGGTATTCCTGCGACCAGCATCAACTTCCCATGCAGCTCTCTGGTAAGCCATCCTAGCAAGTTCAACTTTCATTGCCATTTCAGCAAGCAAGAAAGACACTGCTTGGTGCTGTGATGAAATGAACTAGGTTAATATTGCCTGCTTAAAATTTTATGACATGCAGAAAAGATAAAATCTCCTTAATACAGTGATTTTTTTCAAACAACTCAGTAAGTTGTACAAGAGAAGTTATGCAGAACATGCATCACACTCTCATATATGCATGTTGAATTATACTCTTTAAGTTTTTGATTTCCAGATCCATTTAGTCATAGGGATTAAATACTGATGAAACAACAGTTGAAGTTGTTTCATCAGTATTTCATCCCTATGATGTTATTGGTTGTTTATTCATATTTTTTCAAAACTGGTAAGCAGCAATGTATTCTATGGGCAATGTATTCTATTGGTGTTAATGCTATTTATCTTGTTTCACATACCTCAGATGTTTTCTTCTTTCCTGAAAATCCCTCTTTATTAGCACTGAAGACTTAAGTATGCCCAGTTGGTATGTAAGTTCTGAGCTTTGGGACAGAGTTTTCTTTCTGCTTTTCCTACTATCATTGATAAATTACCAAAAATTCTTGAAGTTACCATATAGCTAAGTTTACTTACAGTGCAACCTATATACTTGGAAACCACAAAATGGCAGAGGTATAATATAAAAACTAAGAAAATATACATATCAAGGAATAACCTTGAAAAATCAGTCACAGTACATCTGGTGTGAAAATATAAGCTCTTATGATATTGTTTGCCCCCACACTTACTTCAACAATTGGTTTCCCAAAGGTTTTTCTCTCCAAAGCGTATCTAGTAGCTTCATCAAGGGCTCTTTTTGCTAATCCAACAGCACCAGCTGCCACCTAAATTTCATACAGACCAGAATAAAAAATCAGAAATTGCTGCTATATTTTATAACCCATTTTTTTCTTATACTTACAGGTGGTCTGGTCTTATCAAAAGCTCCCATTGCGATTTTAAAGCCAGCTCCTTCTGCTATCAGTACATTTTCTTTTGGGACTCTCACATCTTCAAAGACAATGCCTCTTGTATCTGAGCAACGTTGACCCATATTCATTTCCTGAAGTGGGAAATTTACACATGTGCTACTAATTTGGATTATTCAAAGGTACATTATGTTTTCAATCTTTTGTTGACTCAAAGCATAGTTTTTCTTCCCCAAAACACTTAATCTAAAAATTACCTCATGCAAGACAAATACTAGTTTTCTATTTGCAGACCAGCATGCCCTTAACTTGTCTAGGCTGGGCAGCTTACTTTCTCCTTATATGAAATGAGTTCTGTCACTGTAATCAGTCTTGTGTTCTAGTTCAACTATCTTTGAGATGCAAGTGGAAAAAGAAAATAATCTGATATTCAGTAAGTACAGGTATACTACAAGTGAATAAATAAATAAGCTTTTCAAGTTTTCGGATTTCTTGCCTCATGTTCAGCATTCAGTTTTACCTACTATTAAAAATAGTACTCTTTTGTAGATAGAGAACTAGCATCAGTATCTCTAAGGCCTTTTCTTTGACCAGCACTAGCTAAAATTAAAACTCACTATGTGTGTATTTTGTCAAAATTGTTCATCTTCCTTCTTACTTTTTCAAGGCATACTACTTCTCATTTATTGGCACCTGCCAATACAGTTGTACTCAAAGGCTCTCTGCAGTCGTCATCTTACTTTAGACCATTCTGAATAATTCCTTTTCTGAATTAATAGCTTTAAAATTATGTTTTACGAATTGTCCCGCTGTGTTGTGAAAATGAAAAGATGTTTGTAGATAAGCATATGAAACTGCTCAGTTCTGCAACTCTTTTTTCTTTAGTGATACATTTGTTTTATTATTGATTTAGAACTGAACAACAATTCCTGGCTTATCAAACAGGAAATACAGCCTTCACCTTTCTTCCAACTTGGATCCCTGGGCTATCTGCTTCCACAATGAATCCAGTAAAGGCTTTGCTTGCAGGAGCTTTTGGATCTGGATTCGTACGTGCTAGCAAAAAATACCTAGTGTAAAACAGAGTAGATGGATGCAGTTTATCGTCACAATTCACAAAATATATTTATCTAGCACTTTAAACATTTTTGTTTATTTAGCATTTTTATGGCATTTCTACCATATAATAAATTCTGTGAGTTAACAACCTTTCTTTCTTGCCCATCCTGAAAATAAAAGAAGAGGTAGCAAGAGAGTAGAAGTTTCAAAGATTCAAGATTTCATAAAGTTACTGAGATCAACATGCAAATATACCCTACCTTTTCCATGTATTGTAAGTCTTTATGCTATTAACAGCTTCCCAAAAAGTACAAAAGAAACCTATTCATTGCATGTACATAAAAGTTAATGCTTAGGACATACTTTCTTGGATGTAAAAGTTATAATCTGATTTCAAAGATCTTGATTTTATTTTTCTAAGTGTAAGTTTTAAATAAGTATTTCTCTTATTAAACAGCTGTAAATCACTTCTATGGTATTCAGTAAGGCCAAAAGAAATCTTACAGATTGTCTTCAGTAGGTCTGCCTTCAACAAGAAAATAACTAGAAAATTCAGGTTTTGGGTAAGCGTATAAAGTTTCTTCCACTTGAGTTCAGGGAATTTCTGTGTTGTGAATCAGCGTGATGTAAGACATGATTTAAGAGGTTTACATTATAAAAGCATGCTCCAGACAATATCTGCGATCTTTGACAGATAGAAAATGTCTTCTTTTCAGAAAATAAAAAGTAACACTACAATCTAACAGCGTTTCTAGCTTCACTAGGAGTAAGAGGTGTTTCTAGTAGAATCACATTTAATTTTAATAGCTGAAAGATTCGAGAGGGCATTATTGAGTGTGGAGTCATAATGTCATCACTCATTTTTCTTTTCAGGCTTTGCATAGCACTCAAGACTGCATTTGTATAATGCTATCCTGATAGCTATCCTCATAAATTGGGCAGAGATTAGAATGTAGTCTGCTGAAACACAGAGAACATTCAGATTTGTGTCTGAAGGATAGGTTTTTAAAGGATAGGTCTTTAAAGAATTTAACTGAGGTTGGAGGGTTGGGGTAAAACTACCGAACAGCATAGAACTATGACACCAGTTAACATACCAGTTTGCTTTCCCCCCATTTGTGATCCACATCTTCTGACCATTAATAACATATTCATCTCCTTTCTTCTCGGCCTTTGTTTTTATACCAGCCACATCAGAGCCTGCTCCCGGCTCTGTTACACAGTAAGCCTAAAAGAAATTAAGATGCAAAAAGTTCTATCTTTAGTGAACTACAAATTAATGCAGATTATGTGCATCAAACTAGTTGTTGAAAGTGAACTGCACAGTAACATCCAAATACCAAATAAACAAAACCCCCCAATAAAACCCCAAAACAACCCTACACACAGCTCCCTCCTCCCTGCAAACACCTGGCCAAGTAAGGGTTAATTTTATTTATAAATCCATAATAATACATTAAATTGGCTTTTAATCAAACAGAAACATTCTGTAACCTTTAGGTTACTACTTCCTCAGGATTCAAAAATTCTGATGTGAAAGCTGAGGATCTTTAAAGTCTGAAAATAGGAGCACTGAGTCCTTCAGTTTAGGAGGCTTACTTGTAAATTTACATACATTGCACATGAATCTTTACTCCTTTCTATGTAACAAGTACTGTTTATGTAATATTTGAGATCACAAATAGAGTGTCATCCCCCTCCAAGGTGAGGGTCTCTTTACATAAACCTTATATTTTTCTTAAACATCTACAACCCTTCTTGAAATGGAAATAAAAACTATTAATTTTTGGTAAGTGACTTAGGATGGGAATAATTTTCCAAGTAATATCTTCTTTTTATTTACTGGATGTATCTCATTAGGTATTAGTTTTCAGTAAATGTCCCTGTTTACATAAAAATCAAACAGGGCTAAGTTGTGAGTACATGTAAATGTTCAGGGGAAAAAAAAAAACGCAAAAAAAGGAGGAAAATAAAAAAAGGAGTAATACAATTAATGTGGTTCAGAAACATTCTGCAGTATAGCAGTTACACTTACACACATCATTGGTTCTTCTGTCATTCTTCCTAAGTATTTTTTCTGTTGATGCTCATTTCCCGCAATGATAACTGGCATTTGCTGAAAAAAAAATATTTAGACCATTAATCTGGCTCTTTCAAAGGCAGAGATTGTAGTTTAAGGGATGTAAGAAAAGACTCACCCCTAGGGAGTTTGCTTCAATGGCGGTTTGAACCCCTGTACATCCGTAAGCTAACTCTTCTGTAATAAGGCATGCTTCAAAACTGCCAAGGCCAAGGCCACCTATGGTTGAAGTATTTAAGTTACTCAAGGGGATTTAAATTATAATGTATTAATACTAATGATTTACATAACATAATAATGTACTATTCCACATACACTTGACTGTATACTGTGTTTGGTTAAGCATTCTCACGCAAGCTTTTAAAATAAATCTTCATCAAAAGAGTAACAGGCGATTTGAAAATTATCTATCGTGTTTCCAGAGTTATTGTTTGATTAATGTGGGACAACTTGCACAAAGTGGCAAAGAACTTACCACTCACATTTTTTTTACTACTGTACATTCAAGAATTAAGAGTTCCTAGGAAGCAGAGAAAGGGCCCCTGAGCCAAAAGCATTTGGGAACAAAAAAGTGTCTATATTAGTAGACAACCAACGCAGTAATCTGTGTCTGACAGAAGCCAACACTATGGGAAACTGGCCAACACTACACAGAAGTACAGTAACAACTACCACAAAAATATTTTCCTGAACTTTAAGGTGACTTCCTCGGTCAAAAAAATAGTTCTCTTTGGTATCTTTGTTATGCCAACCCCTGACAGACATCTGTTACATGAATTTATCTGGTCTTTTTGAACCTATGTCAAATTTTAGCACCTATATCCTACAGGGGCAATAAATAGCAAATTAACTCCACACTGCATACAGAACCATCTCCTTTCACTTGTTTTGAATCTAGCATCTACTGACATAATTTGATGCCTTCTAGTTATATTAAAAGGGACAGTGAACCATCAATCCCTTTTCACACTCTCTCAACGCTGACATTTTAGTCATTTCTCCTATAGAATTTACATCTCACACAGAAGATAAAACTTCTATATTCTTTGTCATTATTTTAGAAATGTTCTCCATTTCCCCAATACTCTCTTGAGATGGAAGCATCTGACTCTATAATGAATTAAAAAGGCAAGTGCAATTTGGATGCAGGAGGCAGCATAATTATGCCTTCTGCTTTTTCATTCATTCCCTTAAGAGTCCCTCTTGACCTTAACTTTTTCAGTTGTGACCACGTCTGAGCATTATGCTTATGTTCACGGGATCCAAAGATGTCTTTTCTGAGAGGCAGTATCTAGTGCACAGCATAGCTTTCCTCTGTGAAGTTCAGATTGATTCTTTCCCTTCACATGTGTATCACTTTTTCTTTTTGGAATCACATTGCCTTTTTAACTCTCACTCTTTTCTGTGACCTTTTCCTGCAGCTCTCTGAACCAGATCATCTTTTCTAGATTACTTAGTATTATCAGTATAACTTAGTATTATCAGCAAACTCTATCACCATTGTATTTACGCCCTTCTCAGTTTATTTATAGACATCCTAAATAGCACAAGACCTAGCAAGGCTGTGCTGCTAATTTGGCCAGTATGAAACCTGATGATTTTTAAAACTTATTTCGGAAGTTCAGGCATTCTCTATTCCCTGTTCACAAATTTATTAGCCACTTCAGAGAACTTCAATGATTTTACGAGGCATGAGTTCCTTTGACTAAAACCCTTCCCTAGCATATCATGTTTGTCTGTATTGCTCATACATCTTATGAGTCAGGACTCTGTTGTACTGCACTTAATCTAAACTGAAAAACTGTCCTTCTGGGATAAACTCTTCAATTGCTCCAGCCTGTGTCAGAGACTAGAACAAAACATGACCTTCTAATTTCTCTGCCTAATCAGCTGACACTGCACCAGGGGAACATTAAGCAGCTGTAATCACAGTAGAAAAATGTGGTCATAAATTACTAAACTATAATCTGCCTAATTTGTCTCCTGATTACACCTACACCTAGTACCACACTTCTATGTGTCAACCTGCCTACTGATTAAGTTTAGATTATTCAAGTACTGACTATTTATGTGATGGTGTAGGATCCATAATTACACATAAGAATCTCATCTAATGTCTTTTCATTGTTTCATTTTACAGATTAAAAAGGATGTTTACTTACCACAGCTTTCCGGTATGTGTGAATTCATAAGACCAAGCTCCCAAGCTCGCTTTATAAGTGGAACAGGATACTGAAACAGACATGGAAAAATCACCTTCTGATTCATCACAACCAAAACTTTAAATTTCATGCAGGTTAAGATAAAAGTCTGTTTCATCCCAATTTTTCCCTTACACTGTGGTAGAATTTACCTCTCCGGTTTTGTCATATTGTGCAGCAACAGGAATAATTTCCTCCACAGCAAATTTACGAGCAGTAGCTTGAAACTCTTTCTGCTCATCAGTAAGTTCTATTTTAAAAAAGGAAGAGAAAAAGATCATAAATCCTCTGCTGTCTTTTACTTTGCCAATTGTCAAGACTACGATAAAAAAAAAAAAAAACAACAAGAGCATCCTTCCAGGACAACCCAAACCCCAAACCACTATTTGGGGCTCTTCAGGAAGCAAAAAAGTTCAGGTTCCTCTTCCTCCTGGGAGAAAACCTCCACTGTTCTCTGATCAACCCCTATATGCACTTACTTATGTCTGATGAAATTATCCACAAAATATTGAAAATGAAGCAGAGAGGACTATGCAACATAAAGTGTATTACCAGAAGAAATAAAAAGAATGCTGTGCTAATTAAAAGCATAAAAAGACTGAGGTTACCCAAATATCTTGACTCTTCAACTTCAAACATCTAGCTCTGATCCTCTAAATTTGCTTGTACATATATATTATATATAATATGCCAAGATGAAGATAAATTTATTTTTTTACATTTCTTGATAACCAAATTCAACTATGACTACATTTAGGTACTGTAACATTGAAAACAGCAATATGAGGTAAGTATTCAAAGCTAAGACACTTTGGCAATAAAAAAAAAAAAAACTCATCATAGACATGAGTTAAAAAAAGAAAAGCTTAACACTACACACATATCTGCCTTGCCTCAGCTGAGGATAAAGCTACTTTGTTTTTCAAACTATTTTTACTAGAAATATATTTAGAACAAACACCTTAATTTTAAAATCATGGTGAACTACAATACAGGATATTATTTCTTTTTAATTCTGCAATTTGCCCATTATTGTTACATTTCTTTCAAAAACTGTACTACTTACCAAAGCTAAAGCCAGCTCCAGGTTTGCCTACATGTAAGTTTTGTGCAGGTTTACTAGAATAGGACCTCCATCCATGCTCTGTGATGGTTTGAAGCATTTGCTAAAGAGGAAAAGAACATGAGGTGTAAGATCTTTACAGCTCAAGCCTCCTAAAGCTACTAACCTATCTGCAGCACGACTTTAGACTCCCTCTCTAGAAACCGTGACACATAAGTATAATACAATTACTACAGCAATAAAAGAATTACTGGCTACATTGTGTTTGCCTCCTGTGGCAAGCAACACTTACATGAACTGACACCTGTACCAGGAATCTCAGGCTTTAACAGGACCAAGGGTGAGTGAACTGCTGTATGCACTTTTAAGTATTGTGCAACTGAGTATTTAAAAATTGTTAAGCAGAATTAAAATTTATAGTCACAGAGACACAGCAATATGTGTTTCTTTCATTTATACACACACTCATCAAACTTCATTTTATGGCCCTCTAGTGAATATCCTATTACTCAATGCCTACCTACATGCAGATCTAGCAAGATTTTAATAACAACCTACCAATTAGCCAATATATCAGAATATTTTGATAATGTCCTAGACTAATCTCTGCTTTCTTTTAATAAGCTGCTGCCACTGACACTTGGTGATTATTATTATCCTCCAATAGGAGAGACAGCAGTCTCTCAGACTATCTGAAGTTTATTTTTCCTCCTAGTAGTTACCACAAATTTATTATTTTTAATTGTAAATACTTTCTCTGCTTTTTTAAGTTTAGAGCCCCAGGATTGCATTTTGCTGTAGCTAATATATTATTAATTTCAAGTTTTTAAAAACAATAGACATTGCAAAAGAGGACCTTGCTAAGTTTTCTGTTACTGCTACCTCTCATATTAAAAGCCAAACAATATCACAAAAAATTTAGATCTTGATCCTTCAGAATTATTTACACCTTATTTTATCTGGAAAAAAGACAAGATGAGGCTGAAAAAAAGTTGAATGATTGAAATTTTATTCTTTTCTTTTTTTAAGGAGCAGCCCTTGATAGACTAATGCGTAACTTTACCACCAAAAGGTTTTGCCTACACCTGGAAAAGTACTTGATTCAAACTAATGCTACAAGTGATACCCTATATGAAAGAAGCTGTAAAATTTAAACCAGTTAAATTATGCCTATTGTATAGTATGCAAGGTAACACTGAAGATTACTCTGGAAAAACTCAGCAATACCTCCACAAACAACTGTGGACAGATGTGACTCATACCTGGAAGCTGCATCACTGATCAGATGACAAAGGATGAGGGTTTGCTACATGTAAGAATTTGGATGACCATCTGTCTACTTGTCAACTTTCCCGTTGCTTGACTCTGAGAAACAGTTGGATTCAGTGACAAACTACTGCTAGTGATGTTTAGATACAACTCCTACTGCATTTCTTTGCACTACTGTATAAACTCTATTACAATTACAAATATGACCATCAGTGTAGCAAGACTAACACTGGAAGAATATGCTGTCAGGAGAAGGGTATGACAAGGCTACTCACGAAAGTGATGCATTTATTTATTACCTTGATGGCAAAAGAACTATAGAACCTGTTTGAAAAGATGTACGTCACAGGAAACGCTGGGACAACAACAAGCTAAGGGTCGCTAACCTTGATTCTGCCTCACGTATCTCAGGGCAAAATGGAAAATAATTATCAAGAGCAGTTTGTTGCTGGGGTAACATGTCAGGAGGCTGAACTTGAAATAGTAATTTCCTCCCTATGGGCTTCCTTTGCCTAAAGCATTACTTTTGATCCATAAGATACCAACTTCAGATGGAGACTTCTTCCCTCACTGACTTCCCTCACTCTTAACAGGAACACTTAGGACCTGCGGCCAAGCTGCATACATTTGGGGCAAACTAATACTGCTGCTAGGAGGCTGTGAAGGGCCATTCAAGTAATTCAGACTCATGAATACCTCTGGAAATGGGGAATCCAGAAAAAGACATGTGTCGTGCTAGATGTGTTTTGAATAGTTTTAATTTTCTAGTTTGAAGCTGTGAGGTTATTGGTGGTTCACTACAGTAGAAGGTTTGTACTTTAGAAAACCAACTATTATATTTCACACATATTTTTAGAAAATTAACGTAGGTAGTTAATAGATATCACAGCTATGTATGCTAAAGGAAATGCATTGAATAAAATACCCTGAACTCTAACCCCGGTGTTTTGAAGCCGTCTCCACCCTTAAATGGAGAGGTGCCAGACACACTTGGCACGACGCGGCCTTTGCCACATGAGGAACCCCAGGGCTGTGCAATATTTCCACTGAAGAACATCAAACGGCAATAGCCATTCGAGCCGTGAGGATTACGGGCATAAACTCGGGTAATACTGCGAGGCAGGAAAAGCAGCACAGCGGGTGGATTCCAGCCCCTGTGCTGGCAGCCGTCCCGACGGTAACGGCGGGCTGGTCCTGCCTCTTCCGCCCTTCGCCCTCTGCGAGCCCGCGGCCCTTCCCCGCCGCCCGGGCTCCTCCGGCCGCCAGCACCGGCAGCGCCTCGGCTCGCTCCGCTCCGGCCTGGTCGAGTCCGTCCCATGCCGTCCCGTGCCTCTCCCCGGGTCTTGTGTCCCCGAGCGTTCACCCGCCCCGGCCACTCACCCGCGTCGCCCTCAGCGCAGCCATGTCGGCGGGAGAGCGCGGCAGCCGCAGCAGCTCCGGCGGGGCGGTGCTCAGCGGCCGGGGCGGCGCCTGGCAGGGCGGCCGGGTCAGCCCTGGGCTCGAGCCCCCGGGGAGCCTCCCGCGAGTTCGTGTGGGGCAGCCCTGAGCTCGAGCCCCCGGGGAGCCTCCCGCGAGTTCGTGTGGGGCAGCCCTGAGCTCGAGCTCCCGGGGAGCCTCCCGCGAGTTCCTTTTCCTCCTCCGCTTGTGGAGGAGCCCGCGCCCTGTGACCGGCCCGGCCTGCTCGTCCTGCCCGAACACGGGCAGTGCCTGTGCCCCGGTCTGCTGCCTGTTTGCTGAGTGTCCTAGGCTGGTTCCGATCACTTGTTAGCAGAAAAGCCTTTACTGAAACGTGTAAGCAGTTTTACTGTAATTTGCACCTCAGGGAATCATAAACTCGTTTTGGAGGTGTGACAGGAACTGGAAAGTGACTGGGCCTGGCACACGGTAGTTGTAACTGTGTTGATAGTTACATAAAATGTGCTTATAAATGCTCTTAATTCCGGTTGTATTTTAAAGGAAAAGCAATGCTTTTGGAAATTATCTGTGCTGCGTAAAATATATGCTTTTGAATAGTACTGTTTCACTGTTTCACAGCAGTGTTATTTAGGGGTTTATTAAAACAAGGATTTCAAGAAAAATGGCAGCCATTGATTTTTCTGTTAATTCCTTATTTGGTGTGAAATTTCAACAGAATTAACAAAATAAAGTATTTTTTCTGGAAGCTGGATTTTGAAAAACATTTTATTTTGTATAATAATACAAAATAGTATGCAACAAATATTTTTGAGTCATTATTGCCTTTTTATGTTGGCTCTTAGTTGCTTGTTTTGTTTCTGACAGTTGAGAGTATTGATTTTGTAGTTAATACCAAAGAAACAGTTTGATAGAAAACTAGCTATATAAAAGTTATTTACAGACATATTTATCAACTGTCTGAAAGGAGATTGTAGTGTTTTATAAACTTCAGACTGTTCTGGTTGGAGGTGATTACCTTAGGGAAGGCATGTGGGCAGCTTTGATTCAGTGCATAGGCTGCTGGTTTTTCACTCTAGTATCAGGAGATTTTTTTTACTGTACTTTAAGGGCAATGGAGTAAAAGACATAATTTATAACTCTATGTTGCTTAAGTAGTTTTGGAGATTCTGTATGTTTCAAGTACACCATACCTTTGGAATGTAAAGCTGTGGTGGGACTTTAAAATACCAGCACTCAAAGTCTGCATTTTGTGTTACATTTAAAGTGTTTTACAGGTTTGAAGTTTTTAAAATTGTTAACAACAAACAGGATTTTGCCATTTGTTTCAAACTTTTGTTTTAGAAATGGAAAGCAAATGAAATTTTCTGCAGTGATTTATGTATTAAGAGTTACTGAAGTTACTGCACTAAACAAACATAGTAAAATTTAGTGTGTAGGTCCTGAATTCATGATCTCTAAAGCAGAATAATTTTTGATGTAATGCAATGCAACAAGCATGGCAACTTCTTTTTAGTAGAATTATGACCTGTTTTGCTTTTCTTTGATCTCTGATACAATAGTAACTTAAACCCAACATTTTTTTCTAAATTTCTGTTGCAAGCTCTTGTGACTTTTTTTATTTTGTCTTGGGATTTAGTTGGGTGGCCCAGGGTGGGCAGTTAGGGGTTTTTTTCCCAGCTTTTTCATGGTTTTTAAAACCATAAATTTATTGGGAAAAAAAAAAAAAAAAAAAAAAAGAAAGGAAAGCATCTCCATGGAAAACTCTAAATTATCTAAAATCAAGATAATGTCATTCTTGAATTAAAATATTTTCAAGTATATTTTTAGATTGTTTAATTCCTGGATATGACAAACAGTACTTAATGTCAAATTTTAAGTCTTATTTAATCATAAAGCCATAGCTGCTGTAAGTCTTGAAAGTGTTTTATTTAACTACTGTATGTAAACACACCAAATATTTTTCCTTAATTATTCATGTGATAAACAATGAGGCTCTTTACAACATGAATAGCTGAAGCTCATTTTGCCATGGAAGTAACAAGACTTGTACTAGGTCTGACCAAAGATCCATTTGGCATAGTATCCAGTTTATGGTAGTGCAACGAAGAATGGTCAGGAAATGGTTCCAGGTAACTTACCAATAATGTAGTGACTATTTTTATAATTTTTTTTCTAAATTTTTTCTACTGTCCAAGAATTTTTCAATTTATAAGTTTCCTGAGCTGGAGGGATTGCCTTTGTGTTTAATAATGCTGCATAGATGTCTCTTCCATTAAGCTGACTGTTTGCTTTTTGAATGTGTTGGGAACCACAGCTTAGTTTCTACAGTATGAAGAACCACTTCAGGTTGCTTCTTTTTAATCAGACATCAAATAAATTCATTTGTGGTCCCTACTACTTGAATTCAAACAGGCACGTTCAAACATAACATCTTTGCAGCAGTCATCCTCTTTGAGTCTAAGATTTGATAAAAAAGGTGTTGATATCTACAGAGCAATTTCTTTTCCAAGCTGAATAATCATCTTTGAGTACTTTCTGCAATGCCGTAGCTTTGTGTCAAAGAATCAGAATTCTAAAGTCACTCATGTTCTTGCAAAAGGATAAGAGTAAAACTTCTGTGGTCTTTTTGTATGATTTTCTGTTACCCTTTTTTAAAAATTCCTCTGAACACCAAAGTAAAAATTTTCATGTATTATCTTTCTGGCTATCAACAGGATGTGGGATGTAATGGTCAACTCAAAGTTCATCTTTGTATGTACCTACTTCTCTGCACCCCTTGCATGTGCCATTTTACATTTTATTTGTCCTGAACTTATCTGAAATTCTTTCTGCCCCATAACTATTGGCATCAAATTTTCCCAATTTAGGATTCGTCTCCTTTTTTAAATCTTTGATGAGTATCTGGAACAAGAGTCCCAACATACAAGCTTTTGAGAGACTATGGGTGACCCCACCAATTAAAAAAAAATTGATTAGTCTTCAGATTTTAAAAATAAAATATTTTTCATAAGCTTATGTGGAAGGAAAATGTGTGCTTCTTTAAGGATATCTGGTCATGAACTTTTTCAGTGCAGAAATTGAGGAAGCCATAAACAAGAACATGAAAGACAGAGACCTGACTGACAAATGGTAAGGGAGTCAGAGATGACACACAAATCAGACAGCCATACTAGCTGATGAAGAATGTTTATTTCAGTACGATTATCTGATCAAAGGTCTTGTCAAGTGAGATAACAAGAAAAGGTGGAAAGCCATAAACAAAATATGGAGACACACACTTGACAGTCAAAGATAACAGTAACAAAGATGAGAAACAAACGACCTCTCAATAAACTGCAGGCAAACTGGGACTTTGCACCTGATAAGATGCAAATGTGAGGGTCCATAATGTTGGAAATGGATCTGTGGAGCTATTCAGACTAGAGAAGGAATGTGCAGGGGAAGGGCATCTGGAGGAACAGAGCAGAAAATAAAGAATGGACCATTAAATGGACCAGTCAATGTTAAAAAGGGCAGTAGGTACACTTGTCTGACTGAGCCCAGTCTCACTCTCCCATGTGTATGTGTGTTATAAGGATGAAGTGGCAACTACTGAGGGACCTCTGTGAGTAGATTGGGTACCAAGGTTATATTTGGGAATGTAAGATGCCCACTGGTGGTGCTGGTGTTAGGGAGGTCTCAGCATCTGCTGCTGGAGTGGTTGGAGGTCTTAGCTGCCAGCTGCTGAGGTGGGTACAGTGAGTGCATGTCCTGAAAATCTTCTGCTGGGAGAGACTGCCGTGGGTGAGGTGAGTGAGGGGTTCAGCACCAGTAGCTGGAGCATGACCACGTCACAGCTTGTGTGCATGGTGCTGGACGCTGAGGGTGCCATTATCTTCCCCATAGTGGGTGTGTGTTTCTCATTTCCTGGCAAACTTCAAGCTGGACTTGCCGATGAGTAGGAGACATCGGGTCATCAGACAGGGATCCATCCTGTGATCCATGGCAACCTGTGAGTGTGGAGTGCCTATGGGATATGTGAGTGCAGTATGTTTGCAGCAAGCATCAAGCTGAACCAGCCTGGAAATAAGCACTCCTGAAGCAGGTAAGGAGGCTAGGATCTGGCTAGGGGTACCGGGTGAATGTTCTTGGGCATCCAGGGAGTCTTGTGTGTGCCTGCACTAGTGACCTTTTGTCTCTGCCAGCCCTAGAGGAGGAGAGGACATGGCTGCCTGTGCTCTGTGCTGGAGCTGAGGGTGAGTCCTGCATGTAGGTGCTGTTGAGGACTGTGCACCACAAACAGGAAGGCAGCAGCAGCCACGTCACTCTGCCTGGCAGGGACCCTGTGTCCCCAGGCATGGGCTCCAATGGCGGGGCAGGACAGGAAGGGTCCTGGAGCTGCAAGAAATGCAGCTAACACCCTTTAACAAATGTCTTCTAGCACCCTTTAACAATTTTTAGCCATTAAAGAACTTTTCCCTCTATGGGAAAAGCTTTTCATGAGGAAACTTGTAGAATGTTTTCAGAAATCCAAATAACTTG